ACCCCAGGGATATACAAATCCCAATCTGATTGTTTTTCCACTCACCGTGTGACACAACATGGCGGACAAAGTCCGATTTAGCCGTTCGACCATACCATCCGTTTGTGGTTGTGGGTGGTAGGGAGATGTCCGTATTTTCTTAGTTCCAAGAGCCGCACACACTTCCCCCAACAATTTAGAAGAAAAATTCCGGCCTTGGTCTGTGAGGAGCCTCTCTGGCGCCCCCTTGTCCATTACGTACCCAAATAGAAAGGCGTCTGTAATAGATGCGGTCGACTGGTCGGGCAACGGCCAGGCCATCGGCCAGCGGGAGAGGTACTCCACCCTAACCAGCAAGTATTTATTACCCTTAGCAGATGGCGGGAAGGGTCCCAAAATATCTAACGCCACCAATTCATTAACTCGCGACACCTGAATAGACTGTATCGGCGGCACATATGGATGTTTAGGTGGCTTTCGCCGGGCACAATCGGGACACGGGCGAACGTGACCGACGACATCTGTTGTCATGCCGTGCCAAAAGTAATCTCGCTGCAACGTCAATAGGGTCTTCTGCACCCCCAGATGTAAGAGCGTGTCGCAATGCAGAGTCCTAATCAATTCGTACCGCAAGGATGCCGGTACGACCAGACGCCAGCGTTCCTGTAACCCTTCCCTCCACATCAGCAGACCATCGCGGAGAGCGGTTTCCGGCACACCCCCCGTACCCGGTCCCCCACTCTCCTTCGCAGGCCGCTTCCGTAAAGTCACCAATGAATTGTCCAACATTTGGTCCCGAATCCACACAGCCCTTGGAAGATTCAAAATCCCATCAGCCGGTCCCGGCTCCATTGGAGCTTCAGGCACATCGACTGCCAACGCAACAGGCTGAGGGGGATGCTGAATCGGCGCACATCTATGCGTCCCAGACGCGCACGCGCAAGGGGATCGCTGTGGCAACCTAGAAAGTGCGTCTGCATTCGCGTGACGCACCCCCTTCCGATGGTGAATTTGGAAGGAAAATTCTTGTAGCGTGTCCAACCAACGCGCCAACTGGCCGGATGGTTGGTCCATCTTAAGAGCATACTGAAAGGCCGCATGATCCGTGCGTACAATAAACGACCGTAGAGATATGGTCGAAATTGGCGGAGAAAAAAAACAATAGCCAAAAGTTCCTTGCGAGTGACGCAGTAGCGGGTTTCTGCGGGAGACAAAACCCGGCTACCGTACGCCACCATGCGCTCCACACCACCTTTGGACTGAGACAACACCGCCCCAATGCCCGTGTCACTCGCGTCCGTATCCAGAATGAAGGGGTGATCAAAATCTGGATAATCCAACGTCGGCGCCGTAGCCAATAGATCGCGCAGGCCTTGAAACGCCGCCTCTTCTGGCGGTCCCCAAGCAAATTTCCGTCCTTTATCCGTAAGGAGGTGCAAGGGCCTCGCGATCGTCGCAAAATTCGGAACAAACCTCCGATAATATGAGGCAAACCCCAAAAACCGACACACATCCCCCACCGTGGCCGGGGATGGGCAGTCACGGACGCACGCTGTTTTGTCCAGATCCGTGGCCACCCCGTCCGCACTCACGATATGCCCCAAGTAACGCATGGACCGTTGCAGTAGGTGACATTTCTTAGGCTTAAATTTCAAATTAGCGGAACGCATCCTGGTGAACACAGCCTCCAACCGCAGTAAATGCTCGTCAAATGTGTGGCTGAAAATGATAATATCGTCTAAATATGTCAGACATGTCTCCCACTGCAGCCCCGTTAATACCAGCTCCATCAACCTTTGAAATGTGGCAGGGGCAGCATTCAACCCCATCGGAAGACAATTAAATTGGAATAACCCCTGCGGCGTACGGAAAGCAGTCTTCTCCCGCGAGGGCTCGTCAAGGGGAAGCTGCCAGAATCCCGAAGAGAGATCTAGCGTTGAAAAGAACTTCGCCCCCGACAAGGCATCGAGGGAGTCGTCCATACGCGGCAGGGGGTACACATCTGCCACAGACACTTTATTTAATTTCCGGAAATCTACACAAAATCGCAATTTGCCGTCTTTCTTTTTAACCAAAACAACAGGCGCGCCCCATGGGCTGTTAGATGGAGATATTATGTCCGCAGCCAACATGTCATCCACTGCCCCTCGAACGTGATCCCGCTCAGCCGGACTCATCCGATGTGAGTTCAACCGAATAGGGGCAGCGTCCCCTGTGTCAATATGATGGTAAAGCAACGAGGTGCGTCCCAAGTCCAAATTGTCGGAGCTAAACACGTCAGAATAACTCAATAATAATTTACGAATCGCACAACGTTGTTCCCCGGAAAGGGAAGGATTTTCCCCACACAATTCGGTGATCCAGCGATTATCTGCAGCTCCAGGGCCCGAAACCCCAGCAACCATGCCCTGGCTGCCCAGATAATCCTGTGCCGTAAACGCCGTAGTGGCATGTGCCACAACCGTACCAGCCGGCACACACACATTTTCGGTACTCGCATTAAGCACCTGCAGAAATGGCTGCTGGTCCGGCCGGACAATAGTTTGCGCCCCGACGAGCGCCGATCCGCCTGTTATGGTGGCGGACGGCGACAACAAAACCCCAATTGCACCTTGACGACCAGGCACAGGCTTCCGATATCGCAAAGGGATAAGCATCTGTGAGCCAAGTGGAATGTCAACAGATACTTCGGACAGCGCCTGCACCTGGGCGACCAGAGCAAGTCGCCCCCAGGGTGACTGCAGAAATGTAATTTTACGGCCACCCGGTAATTCAATGCAGTTTTCATTAATTTTAATCAGAATGGGCATCTTGGCCAGAAAATCAGTTCCCAACAAACAAGGAACTGCAAGGGACCTCGAAATTAACACAATTCCCGAGGCCGACACTCCCCCGATAGATATTTTAGCGTCCACCTGGCCCACAATGCCCATGCTACCCCCGTTCGCAGCAACGCAGGAATCGTAAACCGGACGCACGGCCTCTGGTGGGATGCCCAACAGATGGAAAATTACATCCGATATAATGGTCGCGGACGCTCCGGAATCCACTGAAATACGCACGTCCACCCCTTGTATAGAACCAGGTACAGTGGACGAACCAGTAGCGGCCGCGACGACCCGCCGTGCCAATTTACGCCACTGCGTTACCGAGCGACATGGCCCAGTTGATGGCCTCCCGTTATTAACAACACCCGGATCGCACAACAACGGTGATGAGTGAGGTGTCAAGCCTTGCCGGGTGTCTGGTGCGCACCGACTTGCCTGTCCTGGAGGATCCTTCCGCGGCGCGTCCGCTGTCGAGGCCTCCTGCTGGGGCGGACCTGGGACACGGGCCCAGCAGTCCCTGGCGTAATGGCCCTTACGACCGCAGCGGAAGCAGTCGATGTCGTTGCGCCACGCCGCAGGCCCCCCATCCCGACGCTCCCGTGTCGGCGGCGCAGATCGCGGACCCGGCCTACTGCGGCCTGACCACCGAGCAGAGGCGGCTGTCAGCTCCTGAGGGCCCCCCCCGTCAGGAACGTACACCGCCTTCTTGGGGTCCCAACCCGCGGCACCTCCTTCGACGATGGGCCCCCCCGTCCACGCCGTGACTTGTTTCCAACGGCGCAGGTTGAACTGGGCATCCAGACATTTAGCGGCCGCCCGGGATGTCAGCTTTTCATGGCCACACACCGGCATAGGAATCCCCAAATCCCGGGACAGCTCGAGCATCTTACCCAAAATGAGAGGTTCGAGCAGGTCAGGCTCCGTCTCCGGGTATGCGGCCATGGCCAACTCCAATACTGCACCCCTGTATGCCACCGGCGACTCCTTGGGTGCTCGCTGGCGTTGAACAAACTGGCGATGAGCATCATCCGGTGGCTCGTATGCATCTGCCATCTCGTCGAAAACTCCTCTCAATGTTTTCTTCTTCTCGGCCTTTATAGAACGGAAGAATCTCACCGACTCGTCGTCGAGAAGAGTCGGTAGAACCTCCAATGCCTCAGCGTCAGTCCACCTTGCAGAGCGTACCGCCGCCAAAAATCTGCAGGCGAAAGCACTCCAATCGCCACCGATGGAGAATTATTTAACGGTTGTGAGATGACGACTGTGACTCCTTGTTGTGCCGTCCTCAGCCGATGACTCATCAGGCGGCATATTCAAAATGGCGTCGCATCGCAACGTGTTCAAGATGGCGGCCTCCCGCCGCGGAAAGCCCAAGATGGCGGCTTCCCGCCGTTCTTCTCATGCCACGCCCAAGATGGCGTCTTCGTGCCGCGTGGCCGATGGCGCCGACAGCGCAGGCAAGGCGGCGGCCTGCGGACCACCATCGGCTCTCCCCAACGCCATCCTCGGCGTGACGAGCTCACACAATTGCGCCAGCACGATTTTCAGTGTCTCCAGCTGCGCCGCCATCTGTCTCCATCGCAAGTCCGCGTCCTCTGTTGCAGACGGGTCCACCGACGCGGCGACATCTTGGACTCCCGGACCCATACTCGTTCCAGCACGGATCTCCTCCTCCATCGCAGGCAGGTCCACCGCCTGAGGAAGGTCGTCGTCGTCGGATGATGTAGCAGATGATGGCGCAGGAATATTCTTTCTTCTGAGTTGTTTTGATATGCCGTTTCACTTCTGACACCAGTGTAATAAAGGACTCGTTCACTGTGTCTGTCTCCGTGTCCTTTATTCGGGTTCTTTACAACTTGTCCCACACGGCCATCGCTCAGAGCCTCTCCGCTTGGCAGCCCGATGCTGCCTTCGCTCCCGTAGCCTCTCTCCACTCCGATGCAGCTCCGCTGCTTGTTCCCTCGGGCAGGCCTCCTGCTGCCCTCACTGCAGCCCCACCGCTGCTCCCCGTTCCTCCGTGCTCGGTCACCGCTGGCCGACGGTGCCGAGTCTTACTGTGTGTGTGGCGATCTCGCCACTCTCCAACCTCCGCCCTGCGTGGCCTCACTCTATCTCTATCTCCAACTCTCCCCCTTCTCTTCCGGTATCTCTCCCTTAAGACCTCATCCCTCTCTCCCACGTGACCTAACTCCTCCCCCCGTGACGTCATATCCGCGAGGCCGTTTACGCCCGCATTACACTTGTGGTCAAAATGCAAACAAAAAACGTACTCTGATAATATATGCATTGTCTTTGAAACTGATTGGTCCACACCAGAGACAGCCTTCTTTTGAGCCTCGTCTCAAACGGTGTTAGATCAGAGGAAGCCAAAAGGCGTTTGCATTCTGACCACAAGCATTGTGGTTAATGCAGACATGATTCCTTGTAGAAGGTTTCAGTTTGGTGTTTTAACAACTTAACACCTGTTTTGTTGCCAGATAAAAATGGGAAAAACCTATTCTCATATTTTGGTACTGGTAAAGGAGGTCCCATGATGATTTTATTTATGTTACGGTCATTGTAAGACATAGCCCTTCTGACTGCAGTTATTGTTGTTTACTCCAATTTTAACGAGTTCATCTCACGGGGTAAGCACCCATAAGCTTTGAATATGGGGAACATGTAAGCCCACGAAATGCAGTATGTTTCTGTTACTCCGCTGTATTGCTGTGATGAAGCTGCCGATTCTTATTTGTGTTTGTACTCCATTACAAATGCACTCCCTTATGCTTGACGCCTCTGAGAGGGGCACACTGCCAGCGTGTGTTCTCCTCTGCTTAAGGTCACATTGGACGTTGCCTGTTTAACATTTTCAATGTACCACGTAATTTACATGTACGGAGCATTTGAGAGTGTTCCTAATTTTAAATAATCAGGACAACTGTGAATAGATATACTGCATATTTTATTGGAAGCAAAAGTTTTTAACAAGCCTTGGCATATGTTGACGTAGCGTGAACCACAAAAAATTGCATACAATATGTAAATCAAAGTGTTATATAAAAAAACGTGTAAGGTACGGACAATTTATATTCTAAAATGCACTCATCTACTTCATTATAAACATTTTTTTAGATTTTTATTTTATAAAGTGTTTTTTAAACCCCCACCACACTATAACTACTCATCCTCCCGTGCAAAGCGTCGAGTATGAAGCCCGGAGTTTCCATTCCGCGGGACGGCTCCCAACAGCCGAAACGCGATCGCCGGGGTGCTGTCGTCATGATCCATTCACTTCATCACTCACTCTGTAAAAAAAAAAATGCACAGTTAACCTTCACACAATCATCGCCTTCAAACATAACCTAAGCTCGCCGTGTGTGCTCCGTGTCGTCTACATGCATGGCCACTTTACATTTATACCATGAAATTGTACCGTGAAGAAGAAAACATTCTTCTTCACGAAGAAAACACCCAGCATCTCAAATCACAAAAAGCAAGTATTTAGATATGAATGATAAAGGGGACATCATAGTCAATGTTAATGCAACATTTCAGTATCACAAACACGCTAAGTCTATCTCTCTGACTCGCAGTCACACAGGCATTATTCCTGTCTAAAACACCCATCTTTAATGACTATAGTTGACCTTTAAACTCTTCCAAAGTAGTGCACGAAGGCTTTTGTGACCAATATTATTCATAGTACAGTTTTTGGGTTAGATTGCGTAAATACAAATGTGTCGTTAATCCACCGCCACCCGACAGCCACTAAGTAAGGTTTGTCACGTGAACAAAACAATTCTGGAAAATCGCCTGATGAAGCTGGTTGTAATCACCAGCGAAACATTGTACTCAATTGTACATTTCGTGAGTTGACTTTCCATCACACCGATGCGCTTAAGTAATGGCCATTTGGCACGTTTTGTTCACGTGACAAATCTTACTAATTGGCTGTGTCGGGCGTTGGTGTCATAACGACATAACTAAAAAATATGAATTATGAATAGTGCACAAAATTGGTCAAATATTCACTGTTGACATACCAAGTCTTGTGACCTCACAACCTCCTGGTTTATGCACATTACGACTACAGTATTTTTCAGCCTAGGTCTATCAAAATTGTGCAGTATATGGTAATAAAGTCCTACACAATACCGGTATCACATCTCAGTAGAAATCAATTCCTGCTCCCTGAACCCTGATGCGAATTCCTGGAATTTCAAGGTAGAATTTTCTGCAGAAGTGATCTGGCCTAAGAGTTTTCATTCACCACTATTTTGCAGAAGGTTCACAGTTCTATTCTAGCAGCTGCTCTGGTTAATACTGCAGGTGCATGAACCAAAAACATCCATGCTGTCTGCTTCATAGTGGACGTTAAAGACGCAACATGAGGCCATTCTGTGCCAACGGCATGATCTACATTTGTCAAATTTGAAATATTACCCGCAAATTACTCAAATGGGATAGAATACAGCAACCATCGCCCCCTCCTGAACAAAAAGAATGGCAGCAACATCCTGAAAAAAAACATGATACTCAGGCTTTCCTGGGTAAACAAGCATAATAATTATTAGGTGTGTAATGGACATTGACAAAGAGTCAGGGTTTGTAAGCCAGGTCTCTTTCTGGTTATATTATCAGCGTTTCTTCACAAGATGTCCATATGCGGCAGCACAGCTACTGTTGTGTGTGGCGTTTTACGATGCCTTGCACGGATGAAGGAGTTATAACGGTTTACCCACAAGGACACAAGAAGATTCTGGCCCTTCCCGTAATAATGTCCCAGCATTGGCTGTAGACTTTCTGTGGACCTACCGGGCACTGCGTTATCCCGGTCATCCTCCACTACTTCACTCTCCTTATGAACGACCACTCTGGTGACTGACATTCCTGGGTGCTGCTTCTTTGCTTCCTTGATGGCCTCAACTAGGGCCTACACAAAACGCAAATTTAAGTTAAGGCGTTTCAAGAATGGTGTTCATTCGGTATATATATACGAGTAATAAATCACCATATTACTCTGCCCAAGTACAAGCCACACGTCATACACATCACGATCCGTGTATATGATCCAACTATCACACACAAGTCCTGTTGGTTTCTTTCTTCCAGTGCCTGATCAATGCTGGACACATCCGTTCATCTAGTTCTGAAGTCACTTCAATAGGTCTCTTATCTACACCAGATGGCACAGATGTATACGTGTCCTGCAAACACAGTGTTCGTGACACGATAATATAAAACAGATTTTTAATTCTCAGAACTGAAATCTGTCAAATTAGATTCGAAAGCAAATTCAGTACAGTATCGCTTTTTTGTGAATTTGTTTTGACAGCCAACTTGAGAACATCAACTCGGCGCAGTGAGAACCCAATTTAAATTCCAGGCTGCTGAAACTCCGATTCCCATGCAGGAACTCAGCGGTCCTGGTTCAAGGCTTGACTTGGAATAAGCTCCTGAGCCATCCAGCCACAGCCTACCTGCGTATTTCCATTCTAGAGAAATTGAATGCTTTCATTTTAACTTCTCCCACGAGTATAAAAAACACAATTCCTTGAACAAGGAATGAAACAGAGTTACAATGGTTTGTGTTGTACCTGATCGTGGTCCATTGTTTCATCTCCTGCAATCACAATCCTTTTTTCAATTCTTGTTTCTGAAATGCCATCTTTCACAATCTGTCAAAACGACAGATGTAAAATCCAGGTGAGCTTTGATAAATAATACATTTCATAAATCTAATTATTCGTGCCATTCTTATCACGCAAGGCTTTTCAGAAACTGCAGTGGTGATGTCGCTGGTTGTAACTACCGGCGAAATGTCACAGTACTCGAATTGTAAATGTTGTTGGATTTCTCTCTAACATGCCGGTGTGCTGTACTAGTAACGAATTGGCATGTTTTGTTTAGGTGACAAAGCTTACTAATCGGCTGTGTCGGGTGGTGGCAGGTTTATATATTTACCCGATGTAACTAAAAAAAAACCTCTGTTATGGATATAATAGTTTTAGTTTAGAGTAATTTGCGGGTCATTTTCTAATTAGGCAAATTTGGACTGTAGTGGCGGTCAGCGCATGACAGCCCCCTCATTTGAATGACAACACGGGATCTTAAAACGTCCACTGTGAAGTGAGCAGTGCCAAGTACTTTACGGTTAATACACCCAGCAGCAATAGCCTGGGGTGGCCTGGCTATTGTTCAAACCACGGGCCTCTGCAACACAAGTGTTGAACGAAAGGTGCCGTTGGACCATATCAATGCCCCATCAACAAAACGTTCCAAAGTAACAAATTGCAATTTACAGCCGGCCTGAATGACAGCGAAGCTGATGGACCAACAAACAAAGACAAAGATCCCCATATCGCCTTAATAAACTGTTTGGGCAAGTTCTGTTAGCGAGCACCTTTGAAGGCCTGCACGGTACACGAGGGGGTGGGTGGCCAACACCACACTCGGCCGTCTTTGTCTCTTGAGTGGCGATATTTACACACCGCACTAGGTACTAATTTGAGGCTGAGTCGACCTAGGGGAGGCCCAGGACTCGTTCAGATAATTGTCACTGGTGATGGCCGTAAGCGGGAATTTTATTTGGATGGCCAGGTTCGTAGTGCAATATGCTAACCGCTACACTGATGCACCGCGCACTTTGTCACATGTTACTCTGCCGATTGTAATGGCCTCCCCCAAATTCCACAGCTGCAAATTTACAAAAATTCAAAGTCAGTGGTGAAATTTCCATATTCCGATGGTATAGGAGCCAGTGTCTCCAGGTTAACGATGACTTTAGAGTTGTGGTACCGATTTTATTGACACGTTAGGAACGATTGTGTGAGCTGAACCCCCAGCTGAGAATTGCAAATTCAACCTTTTCAATGCATGGGACATTCTAACACTGTGTCAAACTGGTGGGACAGCCGCTAACTTGAGGTGATGCAAAATTCAATTTCCAAACCCCGTACTCATCCACAACATGGACCACATTAACCCAAAGCTCAGGCCCTTCTAGTGGTTCCAAAATACATCCTCAGTTAACTACAGGTCCGATATTTACAAGAAAAAGCAACTGAAGGTTGGATTTACTTATTATTATTACTATAGGGCCTTATTTAAAAAGATTGAAATTGTTTACATATTTCCCAAGGTACAGGTGTCCCCGTCCTCTTTATGGTATTTTTGAGGTGTGGTTGCACATACGGTGGCTACACTGTCAGTAAAAGGCAGTGTAGACATTTTCATTGTTGTACAGCACTACACCCCAACGTCTACGCTCGCCGCCATCGCTGACACGCGCTGACCAGCGGAGTGAAGGTCTAATAATCCCCACGACCCGCCCTGCACGGGGAGGCCCTCGCCTGACAGTGGCTTGCCAACAAGTCTGTACCCGTGCATATATATTATAATATTTATAAGAATATATAGATTTAAATTGTATTTCGATTGCGTTGGAAGTGCAAAATTGGCAATTGCCTTACCTTGGTGATGTGCGTCGTAGTGGATGTACACACGGACTCCGAGGTGATGGTCTGGGCACTCATCAGTGTCCCCGCCTGCCCCTCAGCAATGCCCTCGCTCTGCGCAACGTGAAAATGTTCATCAAGTCAACGTGTGGAGAAAATGCAATGGTCGATCGGTCACGTTTCCTGGGTATTGAAAACTCCCCCCACCCCCCCTCCCTCGTGTTTAAATCGCACAAGGAAACCGCGTTGCTCTTTTGCACTCCTCGCGAATGCCTGGGTCGAAGCACTGCGTGCTAGACATCGTTACGACACACACAGGATAACCACCACCGCGCTTCACACCCTACTCACCTGTAATTGAACCCATTCATTTATAATTAACCACAGCTTTGGCTTTGGATGTATGTGTCAAAAGTACAGTTATACCTCGATTTACGAAAGGGATGCAGTTCTTCAAAAAAGACGCGTAAAACGAAAATTCGTAAACCGGAACCGCTTTTCCCATTGCTTTAACACTAAAGATGAGGAATGTTTCGGACAGTCATTCTAACTCTACTCCTAAACTAAAAATATACACCTACATTACTTTTCACGATCCAATAAGAATAAGGAACATACATATTAAAACGATCGAATACTAATTAATTGAAAACTAAATTAATTAACTATTTTAAGGAAACTCGACAAAAGATCTGCTGCATGTTTGAATAACTGGCAAGGTGATGTGGAGGCGTTCTTGGTGCACTGCAGGGACACCGTGATGCTGTCGCGGATGGCACTGAAGCCTCCCGGATTGGCTTCTTGTTTGATGATCTCAGGGCGCGCAGCCGTAGTGAAATTTCGTTCACGCGGAAATTCGATATTGTTAATCCGAAATTTCGTACACTGATTGTTCGTAATTCGAGGGACACCTGTAACTATACCACGAATGGCAACGAACAGCAACAATGACCAAGGTTAATTGACATTATTGGTCGCGAAAGCCTACGCGTTAAAATGAACGACTAAGGTGTGTACTGGTCCATGGCAAGCAGATACCTTGGGTGTCTCGTAAGTGACAGTGCGGGTGACCAGCTGCTGCTGCTGTGAGGGTGAGTCAGCTGCTGCTCCTGAGCTTGCCCCCTTGGACGTCAGGACCCGCGAGCCACCCTGACTCCACGACTCCGTTGTCTTAAAGCAGCACAAACAAAACAACAACGGCGATACCTCCGGCGTCACTGCTGAGAGTTAATTTCCTACTCACGACGGACGGATTCTTCTCACGTCTGTATGATGGCATACAGCCAAATTGTAATTAATGCTTTTGCCAATTCACTGCGTGTTACTGCTCTCTCTCTGTTCCGTATGGTTATTCCTGTGATTACACTTCGCCGTCACATTTGGCCATGATCATAGACCCTTGATTGGCTGTTCACATCCTGGCAAGGCGCATTGGACTTTGACGAAGAGGTAATTTCCCCTCGTGGGCTGCAGAAGAGTCCGCATGAGGGCCGCTTAGGCCGTAGCAATATTTAGCTGGAGGGAGTGAGAAGCAATGCAAGAGGAGACCGTGTCAAGGCAGGGTGCGAGTGTGCACAGGGAGGCTAACCATCGAACAAAGACGGTCACCGCATCGTGCGCGTTCACATGTGTTTCTGCGGGCGTCTGGAACGCTCTTCCTTCCGATATTAGGAAGCCACTGGAGCTATGCACTTTTAAAGCTGGATTGAAAACTAAATTCTTTAGAACAGTTTTTTTGTGTTTAGTTTGTTGTCCTACCGCCGCACCTCTGATAAGCACAGTTGGCTACGTACAATGCGAAAGAAGTCAAACATACATACATGTGACTCCATAATGTACCAAGGCCTCTAGATTGGAGCACGTGTTTACTCCAAATCAGCAACTCGGGACCAAGTGAAACTGTGAGGTTGATGTAAGAATTATTTTGACAATCCTCCCCGTAGATTTGGTTCCAACTTGATTTGAAGTTTTCGTGACTGCAGGAATAACTCTTAAATTTAAGTTTGTTTTCTCTCAAATTTCACACTTAACTTCTAACTTAGCAATCTTTGGAAGAACGTAATCAACCAGGCTATGCATTAAACTGTGTTAACCGACTCTCTGTGTTGCATTCCATTACATTTCCAAAATCTTACTAAGTTTGTTTTCTCAAACTTCCTATTTCTCTCTCTAAAATTTGCCAGGCTTGTATAGGTCCATTGCTCTTTCTCTCCCCCGGCCGCTACGGGGTGGATTTCCACACAACTCTCTCATTGACATGCTAATTTCTCTACTCCAACCACCCCCCCCCCCTCCTCTCTGCCCCCCCTCTCTCTATTTAAGGCCTCGACATAGAGGCGTTGTTTCTCTGTGTGTCTATGTGTGTCTCTGTGTTGTCTCTCTCTGCTTGTGTATCTGTTTATACGTCTCCATGTCTGTGTTTTGTCTCTCTCTCAAATTTAGCAATCTTTGGGAGAACGTAATCAAACAGGTAGGGTGTTGACTGTTGTGTTAGCCGACTCTCTGTGTTGTATTGCATTATATTTCTAAGTTTGCTATGTTTGTTTTCTCATTAATTCTTACCTAATGATGGTTGCTTGTGTTGCAATCGAATCGGCGTATTCTATTTTTATTTATTTTATTTTCTTTCTAAGTGACTTTACGAAAGAACCATAGATCACAACTTTACCATAGGTCACAACTTTTAAAAACCATAATGTCTCTCTTATCTTCCTAAAACAGCTGCTATCACACCGATTAAAATATTTTTTTCAGATCCTGAGCTCTTCTCAAGTATGCTATCTCTCTGCTTCTGTTTTATGATTAAAATAATTGAACAGGTAACCCAGAAGGTACATTTCTTATCTTATCTTAATGTAATTCATATAGCCCATTGCCCAAGGCGCTTGACAGAGACTTAACAACGGTACAATGTGTGAATGTCACGGTGAAGATGAGGTGAATAAAATAGACGACAGAAAGTCATGGGCGAATCTGTGATGCGTGAATTAGGCGAATAAAAAAATTGATGAGAGCAAATGATGACGAATGGATTTGGAGGGATGGGGAATGATTGGTAGCCAGCCGCAGAGAAAGATTACGAAGAGGGAACCAGGAACGGTGGTGGTGGTGGTTATGAGGGGAAGATTAAGGAGATCCGTGGGATGAGCTGGGAAAAAAAGTGAGTTTTGAGAGAGGAGCGGAAACCAGTGAGTGAAGACAGCTGCTTAATCGCCAACACCACCGTTCTGTTCAGTCTGATTTTCATGCAGAGATCTCCGTAGAAAATTGTCTGCAGCCCCATGAGGGGAAATGACCTCTTCTACAAAGTTCAATGAGCCTGGCCAGGACGTGAACAGCCAACCAGGGGTCGATGAGCGTGGCCAAATGTGACTGACTGCTTAGTGTAATCACAGCAATAGCCTTGTACAAACAAGACGTGCCGACTCAGGGTATTCTGCTACCCTGCTCATGTGGATGGAGCTAACACTAACATTCAAATAACTAAGCGGACAATTCGCCTCCGTCACGTAGCTGTCTCTCCACATAAAACACAACAGTGTTTGTTACAAATCCCATCAGCCACATGGCCTTCTGCGAGTGCATCACTTCCGCAACAGTGGTTAAACACAAGCAAGCTCTGGACTGCTTTCAACATTCAGTCTAATCGGCACAGAGAGGCTGGTTTGAACAATGCCGGTGTTTACAGGCAAAGGCCCTCTCTGTTGGATATGGGTCCGAGTTCAATGCAAAACTATGTAATACATAGCACCTAATGAGCAGCATGTGTGTAACACGCACATGGACACTTTTGATTTGCTCTACGCCTGCACGTGTTCTGTACCTGTGCAGTCTTTACAGTCGGGCTCTGTCCATTGTGGAACACAACCCTTCCCGGAGAGCCCGAAGACAGCCGCTTGTCCCACTCGCTGGGCATCTGCGGTGGCGGCACCGACTCCATGAAGTGTCGCTTGAGCTCGCTGATGCTCATCTTGTGCCGAGTCAGCTCCTCCTTGGTTCGACCGGTCCCCTGCAGCAGAGTCTCCACGTTAATGCAGCACAACAATCACAACAACCGCCGATTGCCACTTCTTCTTCTTCTTCTTTCATATGTCTGAAGTAGATGTAAAGCAACAACTACAATGCCACATTCAGATGTTCAAGCCACATAACCGCGTCACTAAGTGGTGGTGACATCACCACGGTGTTCGTGCCAGGCCAGCTGCACGTTGAGGGCATGTTAAGTGTCAAACGCCCACTGGCAGGAGCGGGCGGGACAGACCCAGGTGCCATGGGTTGACTGACTGAGATGACTGGCAGATGCACCACCTGTGATCCCTACTGTGCCAACTTGCTGCGTTTTAGCTGCCTGGCGCTCCGCTCGTTGTTATGAGCATTGCTCCTCTGCTCTAATGTGGCACAGGGGCCACATTCCCATGCATTGACTTGGTCTGCATCGGAGCTCCCAGTTCCTGCCTCACTTCACCTGATAGAGTTCAATGCAAAACATGCAGCACGCATGATGCAAACAAAGCGAAAGATCTACGATGGTTACACCCAGCCAGTGACTCTGGGCGCTGCCTTGACGTGGTGACGCCATCAGGAATAAAAAAAAATTACATTTAATTTTTATCATAGAAAATCTTTTTTTTGCTTAAAAAATGTTCGTTTTACAACTTTCTAATTTTTTCTTGAGCACATAACTGTGGAACGCACAGCGCAAGTGTGAAGTTTGTATGGTACGTTTAACTTTTTTCGCACCATAGGTAGCCAACCATGCTCATTTGATGACGCTGTTTGTTGCTGGCCTTCCCCACTGGACATCTGTGATTTAGAGCTTTAGAGCTCATCGTATTCCTCCAGTCTAAATACAGATGCTGATAGTCAGCTGATTTTAAATACAAATGGGAAAGCTTTGCAGCATATCTCTATGATAAATCTGTCTTTGCAAGTTGTATTTAACTTGACTTACCTCCAGCATTAGTTTGCTATGTCTCACGTATATGTTGTCACCATCTATTCTCATGATTTGATATTTCTGTAAAAGACAAAAATGGAGGGAAACATTACAACAAGTCTCAGAACGAAATATTTCCATTGCCAAATGCATTTAGAAACATGCGTTTAGACTATTTTGATTATTTCGCTACTATACGTTTCCATGTGATAAGCCACTTCGTTGAGCTATAATTTGTGGCCAGATCGCTGCTGAAAGAAAAGCTGACAGCTATGTGGGCTTTACCTGGTAAGAAAAAAAGTTTGTTTGTGATTTGCTTACCTTTCCTATACTTTGAACTCCTATCGTGTTTTTGTACTGTTTGTTGTTGTAATGTTCTGACCCGCCCCTACTGAACATCTGTGAAAAAGCGCTTTATAGCTCATCAGATTCCTCCTCCAGCATAATTAACGAGTCTGATTCTGATAGTCGGAATCATCGGTGTGTCGGGATGTCCTGCCTTCGGGAGGCCGGACGTGGGAGTGGCCGCGCGTGCGAAGGGACCCGAGTTAATGACCACAAACGAGTGATCAATTATAAATCATAGTGGATTGATCAACTAAATCAACTAGATCGTTGCAGCTCTATGGCCAGGGTAATAACGAGGGTTGTTAAACGATAATCAGTAAACCAGTATAATTTTCTGAATAAATTACCTACTCTGAATGTGAGGAATCAGTGAATCGTTTCCAGTGATATCTGATTCATAATTATTTTTCTTTTGATCGTTGTGTAGGAATAATGTCCAGTTTACTGCGACCCTCATCCATCCAACAGAGCAAATTATAAAACGAGTTGTCACGTGGCAAATGTGCCAATTGATTTGGTTTCCCAGCAAATGTGGAAAGGCAGACAATGGTTTTACAATTTACTACGTAGGATTTCGTGACCGATGTTATCCATAATAGAGGGGTTTTGTTTACGTGACAAACCTTACTAATTGACTGTGTCGGGTGGTGGCGGGTTTAACGACACATTTGTATTTATGGGATCTCACCCAAAAACAAACCTCTATTATGGACGATATTTTACAATTTTATACAAAAGTAAAATAATTTATTTTTTAACAGACTTCACACAGAAAGGTGCCCAAGTTGGGAATCAAACTCAGGCCCTTGCTGTGAGGCGGAGCTGTCACTGAGCCACCCTGTCACCCAAAAGCAAATAAAATCCAGTTATACAAAAAACACATTTTAACAACCCTTTTATTTGAGCAAGCCCACACACTCTTTGCAATGTATATTACCTGACTCTTTATCTTATCATATTTTCTATTGGTCCGTCAGCCAAAATACATATATCTTATTTTCCTTTTAGTGGCAACAAAAATCCTGTTTATAGTTCTACTTATTGTACCAGTGACAGAGAAGTGACAAACATTGACAGTTTCCACGCACCTTGCGCTCGCGATCATCCTCCTCCACCTCCACCTCCTCATTCTCAGACTGACACACGAACAACATTGAACATTGCAGCTCTGGTTAGAAACAGGCAGTCTTTAACTGCACCCAAATGTCATCGACGGACCATATAGTAATCCACCGGGGCTTTCAAACAGAGGAACACCAAAACGACACCAACTCTCTCTCCTGAAGCCCTCTCGTCGTGGCAAGCAGACCTCGGCATTGGCATTTAGCTCCTGAACATGTTGCTGCTGCCATCATACGCAAAATTAGAATCGAATCACATGACAGTGCATTAATTCAACACCACAGTTCTAATTTAAAGTAATTTGCAAATAATGATATTTTGCCTTTGGTCAATTCACAGACATTGCAGCGATGATTTGTTCATACAACAAGATCATATCTATTATAAGGACGAAAACCTCCAAAGCTTTTATCATATGTACATTCAAAATAACATGCTTCTACCTAAGACTGACCTCTCCAATACAAGTGTAGATGTGTAGATAACATTGTCTCTCAATTTCTGGTGGTTCCCCGTGAAGTCTATACAGTATTCTATTTTTTGTTCAGCATCTTAAGATGCAGCTATATGCAGATGCTATTTTAATCCAAACGGTGTATCGTGTTGTCAGTTATCCGCGATATAACGCACCCTGGTGTGTAATCTAAAGTAAACTCAACACACAGTTGAGTGTAATGAATGAACCTTAAACAACGCACCTCTTGCCATTTGTTAAAACGTTTGTCCGTGCACGCTACAAACCTCGGTGTCGAGTTGGTCCTCCACCGAGTCCGAGCTCGAGCTGCTGCTGTCCGAGCGCTCGCTGTCCGACTGGGCACAGAGAGACAGTGGGCCCTTTCGTTTCACAAGACATGGACGAGCGTCTACGCGTAAACGCGTCCGCGCGTTGTTACATTGCAGCACCGACGTTTTGTGGAACGACTTCTTTACCTCGCTCAACATCGTAAATCTCCTGAAGCTGAAGATTCGTGGTGCTGGATACAGCCACAATTGCAAATGTGATTTGTAACTTTGATCCTTACCCGTGTATCGATAGTTAAATTTTTATATGCCGTTTTATTGAGGGACTGTGTTGTTGTCTTGGTGTGGTCTGGGACTACTGTTGTTGTTGTTCTGCTTTGCACAAGCTTTCAATTAATGTGACAAATCGGCAGGAATGTATACACTTATGCAATTTGCACTTACATACTTTATTTATTTTAACGTATGTTTTGTGTATCGTTTGTTGTAGTAACTGGCTGACTCGTCCCTTCTGGACATGTGAAGAAAGAGCTTTATAGCTCATTGGATTCCTCCTCCAGTCTAAATAAAGACTATAATTTTGATACCAGCACCTTCCTTGATAAATCTTGGAAGTGATCGTGTGATTTGTGTCCACGTGCGCAACCAACTTAAGACGAGTTATGGTTTATGGACACTTTCCGGACCGATGTTTTCCCAGCAGTGTGAAGCGAACGTAACGTGTCGGCCTCAGCGCTGAACATGCCCCAGTGTTTGTGAAAGGAGCTTGCGTACAACATCAGGCGAGATGTTAACTACCTCGCCTGGTATATAGATCATGGGTTCGATCTCAACCCTGACGCCTGCTGTACATTTGGAGTTTGCATGTCTCTCCTCATGGTCGCGTCAATTGTTCTCCGTGTCCTCCGGTTTTTCTCCCCTCCACATTTAAAATCAACATCATGCATTTAGAGTATTTAGCTGCTATACATTTGTACGTGATAAGCTACTTCGTTGAACTATCATTTGTGGCCAGGTCGCTTTTGAAAGAGCTCAGTGGGCCTTCACTGGTAAAATAAAATAAAAATGATTAGTAGTTTACTGAGCTTTACAACACTGTAGCATTCATTACATAGGCTAGTTTCTGTTGATAAGGCTCGGACGAGTTGTCACCTATCCAAATTTGACCTGAACATTCCAGGACTTGCCAATAGTGTCCGGGTGGCAGGAATTGATTTAGACTGAGACCTGGCACCGGTATTGCTGTGTTGCACCTTACTGCCGTAGTGCTGCTGCACAGTGCTGATAAGAGACGGAGTTCTGACTGAGACATATGTCTGGGGTTGGTCGAGAGTAGAAAAGCGGGAAATGTCACTGATAGACCAACTTTTTATTGTCTTGTCATGGGGGGCGCTGATTATTTTTTGGTACTTCACTAGGTAATAATCTACCACAGCACTGCACATTGAGTGGCATTCTTGTGTGTTGAATGGCACACCAAAATATGGCCTATACCTGCAGCGTTCACATGTTAGTTGCACGAATTGCAATTTTCACGATTATAAAAAAGGCAGACTGGCACAGGAAGCTGTGCAAGGACAAATGCATGCACGGCTGACCGGGCATCGGAGTTGACTGCACAGAGAATGGTCTTTACCTCCTCGTCCTCTGCTCTCACACTACGCGCCCTCTCCTGAGGACCACTGAACAACAACGCGGCCTTGGGCTCCAGGTAGCACAGGGACAGGGCCAGGGGGAGGGAGAGGGTAAGAGAGAAGGAGACGGAATGAGAAGCAGAGAAGAGCAGCACAAAGATGAGCATGAAGGAGGGCAGCAGGGAAGGCGACCGGATTGGGATGTACTGGCGCAGGCTGAGCGGCACAAAGCCCGCGTACTCCTCGGGGAGAGAGGGGAAGGCAAGGTAGCCATCTTCATCCAGCAGCTTAGGGAAGTGGAACATAAATATCGGGAAACAGTCGAGGAACGGGAATCGAGCCACGAAGGGCTCGTCGCATTCTGACTCGGAGTCGGTGCCATGCAAGCTGCCTGGATGGGAGCCCCGCGGTGAGCCACGCGGTGAGCCACGCGCACCACGGGGCTCTGCCACCGGCCCTGGGGACTGAGCCTCGTGCCCAACGCTGGCCAGGGAGCAATGGGAATGTGATGGGGATGACTGTGACGGGACAGGGGGCGTCTGCATTCGGTGTAAATGGTAAAACCAGGCAAATCAAAGTACGACGGCAGAGCGAGGAGTGGCGATGGCGAGGTTGACAAAGAGAAGGACATGGAAAAAAGAACGGTTAATTTAATCGCAATAAAACCAAAACACCCCCCGCGACTGACCGTGAAGTTATTTCGGAAAGCAACAACCATGTGCCGTGATGAAGACATAAAATTCGCGAGAAAACCGGCAACTCTGCACTTGAACTTACGAAACAAAGGCACTAACACAGGGCAGACAAAACGTACTCGTGCGTGTCTTTTTTGGGGAAATTAAAACTCTCAGTTATTTTACACTCCCCAGGAGGCTTTTAAAGATCAGCACAGCAGAGTTCCTCATACATACAAAGCCGTATTATCTTATTTTCTGTGAGAACAGCTGATCCACGATTGCTTTGCTGCCAGCTGACTATGAAACTATCTGCAGGTAAGACAGCAGTGAAGGGACGTAATCACAACCGCAGTCTCTCTCTGTTTCTCCTCCTCCTTGCGCTCAATCCACACTTTCTCTCTTCTCGCCCACGCCTTTCACTGGAACAAACTTCCCCTCCACATGAATCAGTCACCTTCGCTCACTAGTTTCCATTCCTCACTCAAAACTCACTTATTGTTTCCGAGCTCACCCCACGACCCCCCCTTAATCTCCCCGTATAACCACCACCGTTACCGGTCCATCTTCATGTTCTCATTACATGGCTATCACTCACTCTCCCATTCATTAAATCCATTCGTCATCATTTACTGTCATAAATTTTTGCTTTCGCACAATTCATGCATCACAGATTCGCCCACATTGCTTCCTCTCGTCTATTTTAGTAACCTCATCTCCACCGTTACATTCACACGCATTGTTGCACCATCGTTAATTCTCTGCAAAGCGCCTTGTTTAAGACGCTATATAAATATAAAGTCCGATAAGATAATGTTACCGTGGCCTAGCATGAGGGCCAATCGCAGCGGACGAGTGTGCTGCGTGACGCGACGTAGTGGTTTACTCACATCCCATCTTTGTTAAAGGGAAAGGAATCTTAATGATTTGTAACATTTGTTATCACAAACTATGTCGACAAACATAAGTTTGTTGTTTAAAAAAATGGCCCTGCAGCAGCAAAGCAATTGTAAAAAAAAAAAACGTCGTTCAACAATGACTAAGATATAAGGTAGAACAAAAACCCCTCTGTCATGTCAAATAATATAAAGATCAAACACAAAAGAGTGCAAATGCTCCAGCCTGTAAGGGTGGCTCTTGATAGGTAACGTTGTTTGTGGCTTATTGAATCATCCATGACGACGTAGAAACTAATGATCCTTGAGTCTGGGCTGCATCTGCTGAAGCCAACACATTCTCAGCATTTGTTAAAGTTGCTGTTTTTAGTATCTGCTGGTCCCAGCAACACTACGCACTCTCAATGAGTCTATGCGTTTTCCCAGAATGCTAAGAAACTCGAATATACTTTGTCGCGACGACTTTCAGCTCTTTGTTGAGTTGGTGTTTCCACTGAACTACGTAAACATGCCTCAGTTCCCCTGGGCGCTCGCGCTACTGGCACTCGTAATTAGCAGCTCGGAATTGCGGTTCGGCCCTGAGAGTCATAGATACGATGCTAACGGGATCGAGGCATCGGCGGAATGGTGGGGTCTTGACGAGGCCAGCGTGGCGTTCCGACGGGAGAGAGGAGGGCACCGTCTGGACCTGGCCGTCACAGTGAATCGAGAGTGGCCCGCTGCCTGCGTGATGCGTCTCAATGGCCACCCTCGAAGTGACTGCCAGCGTGGTGCCATGACCACGGAGAAACTCCGCAAGCGCCGCGACTCTCTCCCGCCTCCCCGCACTAAACACACACCCGCACGCAGCGCACCCACGTAGCATTCTGGCGGGAGGTTGCCTGGCACATAGGGTTTTAATCAGAAGGGCCCCTAGGGGGAGAGTCCCACGATTTCCCGGTGCCAGGAGATTGGCCGACCCCCACAGGACAGGTTACATTGCGGTGCCCCTAAATTGGCTTAAAATTGTATGGGCGCAAAAAGAAAAGGTTCCCTGGGCCAACCACAATGAGTTACACGCAACATTGGGGGGGAGGGTGGAATATTAGGCACCCTGAGCAAGGAGCCCTGAGCAAGGGACAATGGGTGGGGGCGTGACAGCCGCTCCAGGTGAGGGCGGGGCATCAGTTGTAAATCGAAAGGTAGGCGCGTGATTGGGCAAGTCTTCTCTCGTCCTTCTCTCTCCGACTCTTCTCAGCTGAGGTGTGGACTCGAGTCATGTGACTTGGACTCGAGTCAGACTCGAGTCATGAATTTGATGACTTCAGACTCGACTTGGACTTGCATAACAATGACTTTGTCCCACCTCTGAGGTGTGGACTCGAGTCATGTGACTTGGACTCGAGTCAGACTCGAGTCATGAATTTGATGACTTCAGACTCGACTTGGACTTGCATAACAATGACTTTGTCCCACCTCTGCTTCTCAGCGTCCTTGGGACGCCGCGAGTCCAGTTTCAAGGTACGTGTTAGGACGTTTGAGTAGCTGGGTTCATAGGCGGATTCTAGATTTGAAGCTTTCGTGACTGCAATGATTCATATCCTTAGGTTTTTTCGGTAAAGTCACGTAGATAAAAACATTAAAAAGTAAAATAAAATAAAAATCACGACGTTTCGGAGGCAACACAAGCTTCCGTCTTCAGGTGGTACCGTCACAGCCACGACAGCTGTATCAAGTAAATGAGAGATTTCAGGAGTTACCACTGCGTTTATATAACGGTTGGAGAAGGTGGTGGGGCAGTGGTAACCACCTAGTCCCATCCCCGCCGTTCCTTTTCCGCTAGCATTCGCCTCTGTTTGCACAGCGGATTAAGGCTTAGCCACGGGGGACGGGGGGGGGGCATATTCATACCGCCGCCGTTTCTGTTGATTAGCGCTCGGCGTGTGCGAGAAAACCCCGAGCGGTGGTGAGGCAGCCGTTCGGATATATCCCTCCGAGAGGGCGCTGGCGCGGGGGGGCCGGTCACGCGATCGGCGGGGGGCCCGGCGGGAGGCGCCCTAGAGGAGGAGGGAGGAGTGGAGTGGAGGGGGTGGACGTCGCGCCCCGGCCGCTCACGGGGAGCGGGAAGGCTCGCCTCAAATCGCACAGGTCAGCTCGGGTGAGGCCACAGCTAAGACGTTGAGTCAGCTCTCGGAGCCAATGGCTCAGCTCCCTCCTACACCGCGAGCGCCCGGATTCCTCCACCACCCCTTGGGCAGTTACCGAGTGTGACCAACTCGCCTCCCACTTCTCCGCCAGGGTCGAGAGAACGGGCGATGGCGTCTGACTCTGCTCCGCCCTCTGTATGCACGTGTGTGTGTTGAACTTCTTTCTCACCGTACGTAGTCAACCGTGCTCATCGGAGGTGGGGGGGAAGGACAACAAAACTAAACTCTTTGGTTCTTTCGGTAAAGTCACGTAGGTAGAAAAATAAAATATTATATATCACGACGTTTCGATCGCAATACAAGCGGTCGTCCTCCGAAAGAACCAAAGAGTATGGATTCCTGCAGTCACGAAAGCTTCAAATCAAGATTAAAACTAAACTGTCGGTTCACCGCCACCCCTGACGTCCCTGTGCCTGTCCTCACAAGCGTCACTCTGAATTAAACTATTTATTTGGGTGATGCTGCAATGAAACGTCACCTATTACCTATCGTTCCTTTTAAGGCCATATGTTAAGGCTATATGTTACCACACGTGTGCATGTGTAGTTTGTGAGCCTCGTCATGAGCACATGTGTTCGCGGTGGCGAGATGTTATTTCCCTCGCCTAATATGCAGGAGGTGCGTGGGTTCGATCCCGACCCGGACGCCTGCTGTATATTTAGAGTTTGCATGTTCTCTCTCCCCGTGGTCGTGTGGATTTTGCTCTGGGTCCTCAGGTTTTTCCCCTCCACATTTAGAATTAACATCACGCGTTTTGAGTATTTGGCCACTATACATTTCCACGTGATAATCCACTTTGTTGAGCTATCATTTGTGGCCAGGTCGTTGCTGAAAAAGAGCCATATAGCTCAGTGGGCCTTACCTGGTCAAATCAAAAGTTTAGTTTTAGTAGACTTATCTTTACGCACCGCTGGATCTATTTTCACACTGTTAGCCATTCAACGCAGCCAACGCGCGACCGATGAAAACAGAAACCCCCCAAGTACCTTCGGCTTGCGCAGATCGTCGGCACGCGTGTCCTCATAGCCTGGGAACCGCTCCTTTGTGCTCTTCAGCCGGAGTCCCTGCTGCTCGCTCTCGTCGACGGCGCATCCCCGCCACTCCAAGCGCTCCTCCTCGTCCACCACCCAGCCCATGGCAGGCCTCTGCTCGGTGGAGGATCCGGCCGTCTCCTCTGTGAGGACGATGACGTCCTTCCTCCAGCCTGCACCAGCGACCGCCCCCACCCCCGGGCCACAGCGGAATCGCAATAAAACTAAACATGGGCGGCCGAGCGGCGGTTTCTGTTTTTTGAGGGGACCCCCCACGATAGGCAGAGTTTGACTTGGGGGGGGGAGGTGGGGGTGGGCAGGGGTTCGCTTTGTCCCTCATTTTAGGAATCGCGGGTGCATATCATCAATGTATATAGTTTTAATCTACATTGTAAACTACTGAAAGTAAATGATCAAAGGTGTCCGCCCATGGACCCCCTCCCCTCAAGGTTGACAAGACTGTGGGAAAAATTGGCACTCCTTGTTGAATTAGAATTGTTTGTATGTACGTACATACATACATATGTAGTGACAGGGTGCCATCTGTTGACCATGAGGGATAACTACGGGTATGGGTGCGCTATATAACAACCAACCATAAGGGGGGTGTAACTGGGCCAAAGGTCAGAGGCGGAGATCAGTCGGGAAGCTCCTGGAACCTGAACAAGAGTTCTAGAAGGGGGCCGTGGCCAGAGGCGGGGCTTGGCCAGAGGCGGGGCTTGGCCAGAGGCGGGGCTTGGCCAGAGGCAGGGCTTGGCCAGAGGCGGGGCTTGGCCACGCTGAGGAGTATATAAAGGGGAGGTGACCGGAGGTTCGGGGCTGTCGTGGGGGTTCGGGTCCTGGCTGCCGTCGCTTTCTTCGCCGTCATCTCTTCATCGTCGTCCGGCCGTATGGCCGATCCGCTGTACGGTCCCCATCGTCATCGTCGCTGTATTAGCCAACTATATAGTTAGACGCCGGCGATGTGGCTGTATGAGCAGGTCAGCTACACGTAGCCCAGTGTATATGTTGCTCAGTGACTCTGCCTGTAAAGTGTGAGAAATAAACAAGGAGCCCTCTAACAAGTCGTATCTCGGAAGTCGCTCACTACACATACAACGCCGCCTAATTATTTAATTATAATTGTATATATGTACGTACATAATTGTATATATGTCCGTACATATATATACACAATGCTGCCTTGTTCAATTATAGTTAAACCATCCCCTGGGTCGCCAGGACAAAGCAGTATGGCGAGCGGGCTCATCCCCATCTGTTTCTGTATGTACAGGGATAAAGCGTTGCCCCCTCACGTACTTGCCTTTTCCCCGCGCTGTCTGGTTTCCTCCCACAGGCACGCATTCATTATAAATCGGATGACAACATCTTGACATAAAAAACGCAATGCATAAGTCAATTATAATTATCATGATTATTATTCGTAAAAAAATCAAACTGGAAACCATGATGAGCCGAGCGAGTGCCGCCCCTCACCTCCATCCAGGCTGCGCACCGTGTGCTGCCGGCGGCTCGACACACGGACGAACGGCGGCCCCGGGCGGCCGATGCGAGCGCTCGCCTGCCGGGTCTGCGCCTGGGTGCGGCCGCTGTAGCGGAAGCGCGAGCCGAGGCTCATGAAGCGCGGACGGCGCGTCGGCTCAGGGACGGCCATCCTGCGGCACAGCGAGCGGAACGGGTCAGTGCTCAGTGCCCGTCGCACTGTCTCACAATTCATTCCTGATATCGGTGCGCACGTCATCGCTGCTATCGGTGCCATGTTGTCCCCGCTATCGGTGCCATATCATCCCTGATATAAGTGCCACGTCATCCCTGATATCGTTGTCAAATCGTCCCACCTATGAGTGCCACATCATCCCTGCTATCGGAGCCACATCATCTCTATTGGCGCCATATCCCTACTATCGTTGCCACGTCGTCCCTGATATCGGTGCCACATCATCTCTGTTATTGGTGCCACATCACCCCCGCTATCGGCCCATCATACTTATGGGTTCGATAATGATACCCATTTCATGGGGAAATCAACAGTGGCTGTCCTATGGATAGACTATCCCCTACCATAGAAATGTTGAGTTTCCACCATTGGCTCAAGAGCTGTAAACAGCAGTTTAGCACCGCCTTATTTGAAGATAAATCAATTGGTCATGTTGACTTTTGAGTGCAACCCTCCATCTTGGCGAATGGCCCATGAAAGCGGACGTCATAGAACTACATTCGAGATCCTTTCAAGTGACCTCTGGTCCTCATAGCAGAGGGCAGCACGTTGCCACTTCCTCTGCATGCGAGAGGAAGGCTGGTCGCGTGGCAGGCCGAAATTAAATTCTCAGAGTTGGAATTTTTGCCCAATTAATTGCAGATGCATACATGAATGTGTTGGGTTTTTTTTTGCTTGTGTAGTAATCGGTAACCGGGTCGTGACCATCAACTCGATGCACTCCCCTAACCATTCCCCCGCCCCCTCTGCCAGACACATACCTTCTCCCCCTTCTTGAAACTTCCTACTAAACGTATCAGCAGGCCCCCTTTTATCTATTGGTTACTGCCCCCCACCCCACCTGTCGGTCAGTACAGCTGCATTGGATGGTGGATCCGACGCAAATGTTTACATCGGCCATATAGGAATCTAACGATGCGCTGTAATGGGCCTGTGTTTTGTTTTATAAAAATGATTTAATAATACAAAATAAGTAGATAACATTTTAGATAACAATATAAATATAAATAAATAATAAAAACTTGCTGTGCTAGAGCAGTTACATTCATGACACGCTGAAACGTTCCATTGCATTCTAACGCGGCGAACGCGTGCCTATCGACAACCGTTGAGACGCCGCGTGACCATGAGCACCTGAAGAAGGTGTGGTGCTCCACACAGGTCTTCCACAGCCTCTTGGCAGCTCGGTGACTCGGCAGCTTGAACCCCACGGTGCTCTCACACTTCTCAAACTGGAAAAGGAACATTTAGACTCATGAAACTCACTAAGGCTCTGTTTAGTTTCTTGTCCTTCACCCGCACCTCTGATTAGCACGGCTGGCTATGTACGGTGCGAAAGAAGGTAAACTATTACATGCATACATGAATTGTCCTCTCACTTGTTAGACAGTTGTGCTGGGTGGGATGTGTGTGAGTGTGTAGTGGGGAGCGGTAGTGTAGCGGTTAGCGCGCTGCGCTACTACGAACCCAGCGACCCGAGTTCGATTCCCGCTCACGGTCAACACCAGTGACGATTATCTGAATCGATCCTGGGCCTCACCTAAGTCGACTTAGCCTCAAATGATTAACGCCACTGGGGAGACAAAGGCGTGGTGTTGGCCACCCACCCCCTCGTGAGCCGTACCGGCCTTCATAGGTGCTTGCTAACAGCAGTTGCCCCAACAGTCTGCTAAAGGCTATGTGGGGCATCTTTGTCTTTGTAGGATTGGGGAGGGCCAATCTTGGAGGCCGCTATGTGTTTACTATGCAGCAAAAGCAGCTGCGGGATCTGGCGGAGGGTAGAGAGGGTTGGCAGCGGGGCGTGGTGGTGGTGGCATCTACAGCTTAAAGCGACTGAATCGTAGAGTCAGTTGAGAGACAATCTTGGAATGCAGTGATATGGAAAAGGGGCACAAACGCAATCTATCTAAAAGCAAGAAGTCACTATCTATGATAATTCATGGGAACACTTACACAGATTACAAAACGCAGAACTTTCCGAGGAGTCATTTCTGGAGGTTCTAGAGGTTTGCCAGTAAGCTTCACCACATTTTAAATAGGATATGCTGTGAATCATTGCAAAATATCGAGTGGCAGGTAAATATAATTGGCATGGTCTGGAGAATCTTACAGAGCCAATAAAAGAAGCAAATCCCATAGACGTGGCAATAGCAGAGGAACATTTACAATGCGGTAAAGAATACAAAAACTAAACTATGGCTCCCACATGGGTTCCACCCATCGTAACCTCCTCTTCCCCAATGCATTTACAGCATTTACTGCCTTTTTCCCCCCCAAACTTCCAACTTACCCTATTCTTTCTAGATTTGAAGCTTTCGTGACTGCAAGGATTCATATTCTTAAGTTTTTTCGGTAAAGTCACAAAGGTAAAAAATTAAAATTAATAAAAGTAAAATAAAAATAAAATAAAAATCATGACGTTTCGGAGGCAACACAAGCTTCCGTCTTCAGGTGGAACCGTCACAGCACGATAGCTGTATCAAGTGAGAGAAATTCCAAGAAACAGTATTTGTATATATACTGGTTGAGGGTGGGAGGAGCCAAGGTAGGCCCTGAATATTATTTTTGTGAGGTTCGGTGCGGCTGAAGCACGCTTGTCACCAGTGATAGCCAACATGTTCATGGAAAAGTTTGAATCAGACGCCATCCAGACATCCACCCTGCGTCCTTCCCTGTGGAAGAGGTATGTGGATGACACTTTCGTCATTTGGCCACATGGCCTCCCAGCATTGAACCACTTCTTGGACCACATCAATTCCAGACACCCATCCATCAGATTCACCATGGAAGTGGAGAAAGATGGTAAACTACCATTCTTAGATATTCTGTTTGAGAGGCGACCTGACGGATCCTTGGGACATTCTGTCTACAGGAAAGCCACCCACACAGATTCCTACTTGAAACCCGATTCCCACCACCACCCATCTCAAAATAATTCTCTCATCAAAACGCTATACCACAGAGCTCATGGCATTTCTGACCAACACCACCTGGCCAGTGAATTAAGACATGTACATCGGGCCCTCAGGATGAACGGATACTCTGACCGCACCATCCGCCAAGCTGTTTCTCCCACCATACAGAAACAGCCACATGAAACTCCGATCAAAATTATCACGTTACCATACATAGCAGGCGTGACCAAAAAGATCTCCAAAATTCTAAACAAACATAAGATTCAAGTCTGATTCAGTACAGTACATAAAATCCGTGATCTAATTCCATCTGTGAAAGATGTCATTCCTGACTTACAATACCCTGGAGTCTACAAACTGAATTGCAGTTGTGGTGATTGCTACATTGGAGAAATGAAACGTCATATCTCTGATCGTGTCCGCGAGCACAAGTCAGATCTGAAACACGGCAAAACTGATTCTTCCGCCGTTGCCGATCATTGCTAGAACGCTGTGGGCTCTCATGAAATTGTCTTTTCCGAGACTAAGGTGCTCTGCAAGCTTCCTGGCTACCATCAAAGGTTTGTACACGAGGCCATCCAAATATACAAACACAGACATAATTTCAACCGTGATGATGGGTACAAACTTAGTAATCATTGGAAAGATGTTATTAACCATACAAAAAAGATTTAACTACACATATTTGGAGCATTCCTGGCAGCGATTTCAGCCGCACCACCTCTACAGAACAATAGGCTCAGTCAACCATTCTACACAACAAAGAATAGTTTCCTGGCAGCGATTTAAGCCGCACCACTTCTACATAATAATAGGCTCAGTCAACCATTCTACACAACAAAGACTAATTTCCTGGCAGCAATTTCAGCCGCATCATCTCTACATAACAAAAGGCTCAGTCCCTTTTACACGCACCTTTACATCATCCGCACCTAGTTTGCACAACAAAGGCTCATTCCTAACAGCGTGCTTCAGCCGCACCGAACCTCACAAAAATAATATTCAGGGCCTACCTTGGCTCCTCCCACCCTCAACCAGTATATATACAAATACTGTTTCTTGGAATTTCTCTCACTTGATACAGCTATCGTGCTGTGACGGTTCCACCTGAAGACGGAAGCTTGTGTTACTTCCGAAACGTCGTGATTTTAATTTTATTTTAATTTTACTTTTATTAATTTTAATTTTTTACCTACGTGACTTTACCGAAAAAAACCTAAGAATATTACCCTATTCTACTAAAACATAATTAGCATACCCATATTTATAGGCCATGTAACCATCTTTTAGAATTGCTTGGCAAGAATGCATCACTTTGATAAGAACAGAGCCATTACTCATGCATCAAACACAATACAATTTACCTCTTTGCTCTGCCAAAGTGTTTTTTCAGAGAAACCCATCCTGCTAAATAAATCTGTCTCTTGACTTCTTCCTCAGGCTCCTCGTCAGAATCAGAATATTTATTTATACTTCAGAAGGGCTTTTTCTCGAGGTTTGGTGGAAAGGAACCGCAAAAAAAATTTCGCAACATAAGCGGCATCGGAAGAAAATATTCTAATTTTCTCTCGTAAAGTATTACATTGGTATTTTGAATCGTGTATGAATTGTGTGGACGTGTGCACGACATTATCATTGCAGAATAGGGCCAGACGGCGGCTCAGGAAATATCCCTGCACCTGGGTCAGTGACCCACATGTTCGCACCCAGCACATCGCATCTGGTACACGTCCTGCTACGGCTGTGGCTACTGCTAGTCTCGTGTAAACTGCAGGCCTACTCCAGATGACCAGCGACCGGGGAGATATTTCAGAGAGAAATGAAGCCCAAATCCAAGGCTGCAACAATGCAGAGTGGCCCTTTGCCAATACCTGCGGCGGAACGCTACTGTGATGTTGCAATGCCTCACAGGGTTACAAGCGGTCGTCCAGGAATGTGACAACATTGAAGTAGATACATTTTAATTAACTGCAAAGAGTTCGGAGAGTGACATTTTGTACTCCGAAACATCACGGTACTCGAATTGTAAATGTAGTGGGTTTACAACCGATGTGCTGTACTAGTAACAAATTGGCACATTTGGTTTACGTGACAAACCTCACTAATTGGCTGTGTCAGGTGGTGGCGGGTTTAACCCACACATTTATATTTACACGACCAAAACAAAATAAACCTCATTTTATAAATCGTACACTTGATGAGCTCACCTCGCCAGGCCGAACCTTGATGAAGAAGTTGCTCCTGCGGTAGGAGATCTTGAGTATCTTGGGCCAGGCGAAGCGATTAATTCGCAAGCGGTCCCGGTAGACCAGCAGACCGTTGGCACACACGCCCAGCTTGATGTCCACGCCCTCGGAGTCCTGGTGGCACTGTGGTGAGAAGACGGTGTTGTGAACAAATGCTCCGGTTGGTTCGAGGGAAACTCGGAACGCATCACGGGAATCCTCACCCGATTGTGATGATGCCGGAGGTGCCGAGGGAGATTGGGAGGGAGTGAGTGAGGGGAATGTCGCGGATAAAAGCCACACCTCGCGTGAGACATCACGCAACACCTCACAAACCCTGCAGCAACGGGGCTCCTTCGACGCCAGCAACCAACGCGCAGCTATTCTCCCTTAAGCCCCATGCTGTACGTAATACCAGAATCTGAATATTGATATATGCTGGAGCAATCCCATGGGCTATAAATCTATTTTCACAGATGTCCAATAGGGGCGGGTAAGAGCATTACAACAATAAACAGTTCAATAACATGATACTAATGAAAGTACAAGAAAGGTAAACAAATCACCCAAACACATACAAATAAAACTAAACCATCCCCATCATACCAAGCAAAGCCCACGAAAGCATTAACTTGGTTTCAAAAGCGACCTGACTACAAATTATAGCTCAATAAAGTGGCTTATCATTTGGACATTTATACCAGCAAAATTATCAAAATAGTCTAAATGCATGTTTCTAAATGTGGAGGGAAAAACCAAAAGACCCAGAGAAAAAATCCACGCGACCCACGTGGAGAGAGATGTGCAAACTCCAAATATCAGGGTTGGATCCAGAACCAAAGTAAAGTGCACGCTTATAAACACGGGCTATATCGTCCAGTGTTACGATCTAAGGCAGGCGAATTAGACGTGTGTATGAAGAGGAGTGGTAAAAGTTATTATTTTCCGCTTTCAGGCCTGAGCCAGTGGTGGGACAATTCCACATTGCTATGGTGAGGGGGGGGGGAGCGAGTCTCTCCCAGAGACAATCGCCACCACCGTTGACAACTTCCCCGCAAGGCGTTTACTGATTTTACCGACCCCTGGAGAGATGGTGGGCGGAGCGGGGGTGGGGGAGAATGGATCGTCACAGCAGCAGCAGCAGCAAAGCAAAGGGTGTGCGTGAGAGTCGCCGTGAGCAGCGCCACTCTACCTTGGCGCGGTGCAGTTCCACCCCGTACATGGCCAGCGTCTTGGCATTCTCCAGGTAGTGAAGCTCGGCCTCCGCTGGGCTTTGGCCCCTGGAGACAAAACGTGACGGAACACCCGGTCAATAACGAGACGCAACGCAACAGCAACCTAACACCATAAGCAGACACCGTGCCTCCTTCCCACATTGTCACCGCACTTGTTCTTTGCCGATAGAGAATGGGGCGTTCAACCCGCATTGGTGTGAGGCAAGCCTGACTCTGCTGACGGGACGATGGATGTTGAAACCGGTCCTAGAGTTTACTTGTAGAAAACCGATACCGCTGAAACTGCGCGCTCGCAGAAGGTCAGCCTTTGTGACCAATGGAAAATTTTTGAATAAAAAAAATTACGTGGAGAGATAGAAAAGGAAGGACTTGCATTGTGCGGTTATTTATCTGTTACTTATTCTTTGGGTCTTTCGGTAAAGTCAGGCTGATGACGACCGCTTGCGTTGCGATCAAAATTCACAGTTTTTTGTTATCTTCTTGGTTCTTTCGGTAAAGTCACGTAGAAGGGAAATAATAAAATAATAAAAATACAACATAATAAAATACAATTCTCACGACGTTTCGGCCACAACGCAAGCAGCCGTCCTCAGGTGAAGAACAGGTCTGTCGGAAAGACAGCGTCTGAATGAGCACCACCAGGCTTGGCAGCGTATATTTAAGCGGGGTTAGAGGGGGAAGGAATTTGCATATCAATAGGAATTTAGCATATTTATGGGAAATGCTAAATTCCTCTTGATATGCAAATTCCTTTGTCAAGGCGCCCTTCCCCTTCTAACCCAGCTTAAATATACGCTGCCAAGCCTGGTGGTGCTCATTCAGACACTGTCTTTCCTACAGACCTGTTCTTCACCTGAGGACGGCTGCTTGCGTTGTGGCCGAAACGTCGTGAGAATTATATTTTATTATGTTGTATTTTTATTATTTTATTATTTTCCTTCTACGTGACTTTACCAAAAGAACCAAGAAGATGAATCCCTGCAGTCACGAAAGCTTTAAATCGAAAGTTTTTTGTTAATTTTTGTTATTTTTCTTGAACCTATCTCCGTGACTTTACCAAAAGACCCAAAGAATATGAATTCCTGCAGTCACGAAAGCTTTAAGTCAAGATGTATTTGTTACTTGTTTTACGTTTATGTCTCTTTCACATATTTGTCCCTCCCCATTAAACAATAAATAATTTCTTTTTTTTTACATATCCCATCAGCCACGCGGGCTTCTGGGAGTGCATAATTTCTGCAGCAACGGCTCGGGACAACCAAACCCCTGGAACTGGCGTTGACAATTGGTGTCTCGTCAGCAGTGAAAACTTGATGAAAAAATAAGAAAAGGTTTTACCCCTTCCTAGAAACAAAGCAGAAGTTGTGTTAAAATGTTCAAACACCAAAATAGAAACATTTTGCAAGGCATCAAGTCTGCATTAACCACGCATACTTGTGGCAAAACATGCAAACCAACACGCTCTCATCATTCATATATGCATTGTCTTGGAAACCGATTGGCCGGTACCAGAGACAGCCTTCTTTATGGCCTAGTCTCACCAGTGTCAGACCAGAGAACGCCAAGAGGCGAACAGTACACTATCAAAACTGATTTTAAAAATATAAGAATCGGTTTTAACCTTTCTGGCAATAAAACAGGTGTTAAGATGTTCAAACACCAAATAGACACATTTTTCTAAAGCATCAATTCTGCATTAACTACCCATGCTCGTGGCTAAACATGCACACACATGCTCTGGTCATAATATTTGACGTTTTATTGCCAGAAAGGGCAAAAACCTATTCCTTATTTTGTTCATTAGTTAAAACGTGCTCTTCCATCGGTGAGCGGAGCCAGTCGTCATTAAGCTCCTTTTTGAAGTTCCAAGGACAAATAAACGTCTCCCGTTGCGTACGCAGCCATCAGAAGCGACCTCCTCCCCTGGCCGCCCGCGCGCGTTACGAACGTGTCAGAGCGTGTGCGTGCGTTTTGTAGCGTGTTGGAGTATGTGTGTGCGTGTCGAAGTGTGTCGGAGCGTGTGTGTGCATGTCGGAGCGTCTGTGTGCACGTCGGAGCGTATCAGAGCGTGTGCGTGCATGTCGGAGCATGTCGGAGCATGTGTGTGTGTGGGAGCGTGTGCGTGCGTGTCGCAGCGTGTGTGTGTCAGACCGTGTGCGCTCGTGTCGGAGCGTGTGTGTGTGTGTCAGAGCATATCAGAGCGTGTGTGTGCGTGTTGGAGCTTATCAGAGCGTGTGCGTGCATGTCGGAGCGTGTGCGTGTCGGAGCATATGCGTGCATGTCAGAGTGTTTCGGAGTATGTGCATGCGTGTCGGAGCGTGTGTGTGCATGTCTGAGCGTATCAGAACGTGTGCATGCGTGTCGGAGCATGTGCGTGTCAGAGCGTGTGTGTGCATGTCCGAGCGTATCAGAACATGTGCATGTCTGAGCGTGTGCGTGCGTGTCACAGCTTGTGTGTGCGTGTCGGAGCGTATCAGAGCGTGTGCGTGTCGGAGCGTGTCATGAGTATGTGCGTGCATGTCGGAGCTTATGTGTGCGTGTCGGAGTGTATCAGAACGTGTGCGTGTCGGAGCATGTGCGTGCATGTCGAAGCGTGTCGGAGTATGTGCATGCGTGTCGGAGCGTGTGTGTGCATGTCTGAGCGTATCAGAACGTGTGCATGCGTGTCGGAGCATGTGCGTGTCAGAGCGTGTGTGTGCATGTCCGAGCGTATCAGAACATGTGCATGTCTGAGCGTGTGCGTGCGTGTCACAGCTTGTGTGTGCGTGTCGGAGCGTATCAGAGCGTGTGCGTGTCGGAGCGTGTCATGAGTATGTGCGTGCATGTCGGAGCTTATGTGTGCGTGTCGGAGTGTATCAGAACGTGTGCGTGTCGGAGCATGTGCCTGCATGTCGAAGCGTGTCGGAGTATGTGCGTGCATGTCGGAGCGTGTGTGTGCGTGTCGGAGCGTGCGTGCAACCTGTGAGCAGCATGCAGCTCGGCCATCCTGTCCTGTAGCTCGTGCGTCTGGTTGGGGGCGAGCTGGAAGCGGCCTGCGTAGCCGGCGCCGTGCTCCGCCGCGTCGTAGTCCCCCAGCTCGGCCTGCAGGGCGTAGGAGCCCAGCAGGGCGTGCACCACGGGCAAGCACGGCAGCCGGCCCCTAGCCACGTCCTCGCGCAGCTGCAGGCACAGGTAGTACCTACGCACGCGGCCAGCGGCCAACGCCATCACGCACACACACACACATCCTTAACACGTAGTAGTAGTAGGGGCTTTTGCGAGATGGCAACTACTACCTCGCCTGGTATAGAGGTGGTCGTAGGTTCGATCCCGACCCTGACGCCTACTGTACATTTGGAGTTGGCATGTTCTCCCCGTGGTCACGTGAAATTTTCTCCGGGTCCTCCGGTTTTTCCCTCTAGATTTAGAAACACACATTTAGATTTTTGGCTGCTATAAATTTCCACGTGATAAGCCACTTCTTCGGGCTTTAAATTTGTGGCCAGGTCACTCCTGATAAAGAGCTACGTAGCTCAGTGGGCCTTACCTGTTTAAAATAAAAATAGAAAAAAAATGTCAGTTAATATTATCCATAATAAAGCCTTTTTTGGGTAAGATGGCATAAAAATAAATGTGTCGTTAAACCCGCCACCACCACACAGCCAATTAGTAAGGTTTGTCACGTGCACAAAACATGCCTATTAGTTACTAGTTCAACACAACCGGTGTGTTGGAGAGTAAACTCACAACATTTACAATTTGAGTGAACGACGTTCGCTGGTGAAACGTCGTTCACTCAAGGCGATTACCAGAATTTTGATGAAATCTTCCTGTTTCTGGTATTAAATAGAGATAGAGTAAGGTGATGTAATCACTGTGCACCTACCAACCTTCATTATAAAAACCTTCATCTAAAAAAAATACTGATATCATCATTCTAATCATCAGGCAATTGCTAAAACTCCACCAAAAACGCAGAATGACAATATAATTCTTACACAAACCTCACAGTTTCACTTGTTCACGAGTTGCTGATTTGAAGATTTGAAGGTTGTTTTAAGGGAAGAACGGAAGCTGAAATTTGTGAAAGTTAAGACAATTGCTCTCTGTGCTGGTGGAGGGGGAGTGAGAAGGGAACAAGAAGGAGAGAGCAAGACTGGGCGCAGAGCGAGGGAGGCACAGAGAGGGGCGGTAGAGATTGGGAGCAGAGAGGACGGGGTGGGACAGAGGAGTGAAAGACGAGAGATGGGGCAAGACCTTGGAGGGATTTATAGACTTCGAGTGAGAAATGTAAACAGACAGCGATAGTAGACAGGGAGCCAGTGGAGTTGGGAGAGTAGAGCAGACATGTGGGAATTGTGGAGTAGGTTTTTAAGCAAAGGCCCAAATGTCAAGCGGTCAGCAACAAGCAGCACTTTAAAAGTTGTCATTGATAAGAGCGTAACATGTGTCTTGACTTGAGCATGGGGGTGAGATGTTAGCTACCTCGCCTGGTATACAGGAGGTCGTGGGTTCGATCCCGACCCTGATACCGGCTGTATATTTGGAGATTGCATGTATCTCTCTCTCTTCCCCCGTGGTTGCGTGATCTTTTTCCGGGCCCTCCTGTTTTTCCCTCCATATTTAGAATTAATATCACACATTTAGAGTATTTGGTTGCTATAAATGTCCACGCGATAATCCACTTCGTTGAGATATCATTTGTGGCCAGTTCGCTTCTAAAAAAGCTATCTATCTCATTGGGACTTACCTGATCAGTTTAGTTTGAGTCTGTTATTGTAAGAGCTTGGGGGAAAGAGACGATGGGAAGGAGGAATTTCAAAATAGGGCCGGGTGAAGGAAGAAACAGAGAAGCATTGTGACCTGCAGTACGGTGGTTGAGACAACGTGTGGATGAGATTAAACTGCCTTCTATGAGTAGTTAATACGTAATTAAATCTACCACATTGTTGGAAGGCTTAATTGAGATGCACGGTGAATTAGTCGCCTAAATCATCTGAATTCTGATTTGTGTCCAAGCGTTATCACAAGCAACACTAAACAAATACTTGAACTTATAGCTGCCTACGTGCAGGTCGCAATGCAGGCACGGCCCACACCTGCAGCATCTTGCCACTGGAACAGTGAACCCCATAAATCCACTCCAGCGTTGGTGGTTAAGATGGCAACAGACGTTGGAAGAACATGGCCACAGCCATTGATGCCACCATCATACACCTCACTGCCAACGCTCTTTACCCTCTGCCAGATCCTACAGCTTCTATACAGGAGTGGCGCAGTAGCCTCCCAAGATCTTCCCTCAGTCTCCCACCATCTGCTCTGTTGACTTCTACTCTCCTTGGTCGCCCGACTCGTGGAGACCACGTGTCCGGCCCTCCCCGATTCTGTACTCGCCTCCCACCCAGCAGCAGCCGTTTTGGCCTAATTACAACTGCGCACATGCCTGACACGCTCTCGTACAAACCTACAAAAGTAACAAAAATTGCCCCTTGCAATGAATTACACTAAATTCATATTGTTAAGTGAATATAATAAGATCCAACCGTGTCCATCCAGTACTCACCGAGCTGCATTGGCTTTCAGTTGTCGGATGAATACACTATGAGGTCGTACTCATTACACACAAATGCTTGCCACAAATGAACCACAGTACCTCGCTGATCTCGTCAAGGAGCACAAACCATCACGCCAACTCTGGTCATCCTCGCAGCAGTGGCTTTTGGTTGGCCATCGAATAAATACGGTCACCGAATCGCACACTTTCAGATATGCTTCCACGGCCGTCTGGAATGCTTTCCCTTCTGATTTTAGGAAGCTACTGGAGCTATGCACTTTAATCTAGATTGAGAACTTATTTCTTTAGAACTGCTTTTTGTATTCTTGGTTCTTTCGGTAAAGTCACGTAGAAGGGAAATAAATAAAAAATTACATTCTCACGACGTTTCGATTGCAACACAAGCAATCATCATCACAAACTAAGTTGCCTCTGTGGTAGCAGTAACATTGGATAAACCAAACGACATGTCTCGGACTGCATCCGTGAACACAAAGCAGACCTAAAATACGGTAGGACCAACACCTCAGCCGTGGCAGACCACTGTTATAATTCAGTGGGCTCACATGACATTGACTTCTCCAAGACAGAGGTTCTCTGCAAGCCATCTGGCTACCATGAGAGATTCGTTCATGAGGCTATCCACATATACAAACACAGAGGCAATTTCAACTAAGAAGATGCATTCTGGCTTAGCAATCATTGGAAGGATTTGATAAACCATTTCGGGTCTTAATTGATTGTGTTCACGCTTACGGTGACTTTCAGACCGCATTCCATTCTCTTTCTCTCCCCCCTCCTCCGTTCCGAGCATAGATGGGCTCGTCCGCCTGAACAACCGCCAGTTGCTGTCCGTGGTGCTAATGTTAAGAAAAAAACGCCACTTTTTTCAAAATTTCTTGCTGTGGTTTTCACACCTGATGATGATTGCTTGTGTTACAATCGAAACGTCGTGAGAATTTAATTGTTTATTTTTATTATTTCCCTTCTACGTGACTTTACTGAAAGAACCAAGAATATGAATCCCTGCAATCACGAAAGCTTTAAATAGAAATTTAACTGCTTTTTGTGTTTAGTTTGTTGTACTTCCCACGCACCTCCGATTAGCACGGTTGGCTACGTACGTTTCGAAATAAGTTCAAAATACATACACACATACACAAAGATATAGTAAACAGTACCTGCTAATGTCTTCCAGTAGATGTGATGGGTCCGGTGGATAAAACTTCACATTGAAGGAAACAAGCCACGGAGAGTCTGGAAAAGTCCCACAGCCAACATGCAGTAAATCCGTCGCTAAGACGTGGTGCAGTGAAAACCAGGTGCATCTCACAGCAACAAGGGCCTGGGTTCAAATCTTCACCTGGGTGCCTTTTTGTGTGGATTTTGTATGCTCTCCCCCTGTTATGCAAGGGTTTCCACCAGGTTCTTCAGTTCCCTCCCATAAATAAATAAATAGCTTACGATGTAACTGGTATTGGCCAAACATCCCAATGCGGAAACATTGCATGCAAATTACTCAATTGGGATTATATAGAGTAACGTCGGCCCGTAATGTGAGGCTTTCCTGGGTAAACAATTGCAATTGGGAGCCGCAGTGGTGAGATGTTAACTACCTCGCCTGGTATACAGGAGGTCGTGGGTTCGATCCCGACCCTGACACCTGTATAATTGGAGTTTGCATGTTCTCCCCGTGGTCAGGTGGATTTTTCTCCAGGTCCTCCAGTTTTTCAGTCCACATTTACAATCAACACGCGTTTAGAGTATTTGATTGGTATAAATTTCCACGTGATAAGCCACCTCGTCGCTTCTGAAAAAGAGCTACGTAGTTCAGTGGGCCTTACCTGGTAAAATAAAAATTAGTTTAGTTTAGCAATGTTATTGGAGGGTTTGTAGATTTAGAAAACTGGTCATCAGAATTTTTTTTTAAATGTAATTCTCAGTAGTCCCCATGGTTTAAAGTGCAGTCTCCAATTCTGATTATAATTACATTCTCCACTCTGGCCCTATACTGCCTCTCTGACGAAGTGCTGTTCAGAAGTGACGTTGCCTGAAACATCACTGATCATTACATTTTTTAAGGCAGCAGTGTTGTTCACGAGTGTGTTGGGGTTTACGTAAATAATTCGCTGGACTATTGAGATAGTTGATTTGCAAATAATTCCCGTATCTGTAAATAACGACGTGTTAATGATGTTGCTATAACCATTCAATTCTTGTTTATGATTTAGCTGCTTATAATAACTGTAATTTCTATCTATAAAAAAAAAGTAAAAAATTGTCTGTTTGTCGGTTTGTGGCTTTGTGTGCGTTCGCGCGCTCGCAAAAGATTTGGCTCAGGTACCACGCCGTAAGCCCCGCCGTGAGCAAGCGCTATTCCTTTTTCACATCCGTTAACTTTTAATAAGTATAATTAGCGATTTAGTGCTATTTTTTTGCGCTATTTGCGCTATCTCTTTATTTATTGTTTATGAAGCGTGTACGACCATACCAACTCACGCGCCTTTGGTGGGGGGGACGGCCCATGCCAAGTCGCACGCCTTCGGTGGGAGTGAGGGGGACATTTTCTTTCGTGTTAAAAATGCTTTAAAAATTCACTAAACGCTGATCTTAAATCTTCACTGTGTGATGTCCCCCCCACCCTGATGCATGCAGTTACTAATATATACAGTCGCTATATGTTACCACTATAGGCCGTAGATATTACTGCAGAGCGGCCGGGGAGATCATGGCTGGGGGCGGGGGGGTCAGGGGTAGCAGCCCAACCCCAGCCTGCCAAGGTGCCACCTCGGCCGGCTGGACAATCTAGGCGAGGCTCTGCACGGGACTAGGCCTCATCACGCCACTCTGTCAGGTGAGTACTTTGTGCTATAGAGTCGATAGATACTGCTCTAAAGTCAGCATGTACTGCTGTAGTGATAGCAGGTACCACCACGGTCGGTATGCAACGCCTGGTATATAAACTAGTTTCATATAAAAGTTTGATGCGAACATTGATATTTAACATAAGACTAGAGTGTAAATACTCGAAAAAATGTAGAGCAAATAAATAATAAACACATATCAATTGTGTAAAAAACATTTGCATTTTAAGTTGAGCCTACAGTCATTCCTCTGCAGAGCTTACAATGGATGAATATTGCACACTCGTGATAACCTAGGTTATGAGAGCTATGCGTTTATACATTGGAGGTACAAAGTGTGACACGTCATACTTACGCATCAGCTGTTTCTTAATTTCTTTAATGGGATCCAGCCAATTCTGAAAAAAAATACGTGAAAATGTGAAATCCGTAGAGACAGAATACTAACTGTCGACACCGTCAATGTAATTATTGCCCTGGATTGCAAACTGTTAGATTTTTTCTGACAGATTTCCAACCATGCACCCTAAACACATCATCTGCACATGATCTGCGCATGTGTAGTGACTGTGATTGACACTGTGTGGTGCCGGGCTTACGAAGCTACAGCGGATAATGTGTTGTCATTATGGGCAGCCCGGTTACGGGGAGTAGTAACAGCCCTAGCAGGGCTTGGGTGAGTGCTGGTCAGCGCGAAGGCACCGCAAGCAGTGTGTGGTGCGGGCTCCCCGTGAGAGAGCGAGAGGGAGCGTCAGCCAGCCAGGGTTACGTTGGGGCATGAGACACTGGTTGACCTGCTGACACGTAACTGGATGATATTGGTGGATAGGGGCCGCTGGGCGGTCACGTGGTCTAAAAGAGCTCTCGGGAACCTTCGAGACAGAGCTCGAGAGATCTGGAAGGTGGGTGGGGCGAAGGGCGCAGCAAGCCCCAGCCCAGGGGCATATAACGGGGGTCCCGTGAAGAGCTCGAAGTCTTCATGTCCTGGTGTGAAGAAGATCCACGTTGGGGAGAAGAAGCATCTAGCCACGCGGTCCAGGACCCAGCTTGTGGTCCGGGCCGGGATAGCGAACTGTGTCTAGTTCTGCCGTAGCGTGGTTAGATGTGCATTCGAAACCCGAGTGTAGATTGTGTAATGTTGTGTTCAGTTGCGGAATAGTGTTGCTCCCAAGATAAAGTCTGCAACTCAGTTGGACTACACATGTAGTGAACGCAGCACGAACGAGAAAATATTTTTTTCCTCGTGAAAATTCATTATTCTTGAGTTAACGGTCTCCGAGTGAGGCTCAAGCAACACCGGGCAAGTGTGGCGAGCTGCTCCTCTGTACTTGGTGGGATTTCCACGCATTTCTCAATGCAAGTGGGGGTTTCACAACACGTCGCGCCATCAGTTTCCGACTGCCGATGTTGCCCCAAAGGGTTCCCGGCACTAAGCGGCCCTCAACAACAAGAAAATGCAGCTTCGGTGATCTGCGCTGAAAGAAATCGCGTTTCTCTTCTCCTAACCATGAATGGAACCACATCCACATTCATTGCGAGTCGCGGCCATGGAGACCCATCAAGCATGACACTTCACACTGGGAGATATGGCAATACATTCTCGTGCTCCTATAATGCGGCAATAGTAATTGTTGCGTTCCTGAAGAACACCGCGTTGCAGAAAAATCGCCTTATCATAAATTATATATAATTTAGGGTATAAATCACAGTCCACGATAACACGTGAGATGCGTTCACAGGCTGAACAGAGACTGAGGCGCGTGGGTAGCATCTAGAAGCATCCAACAGCATCCCACCTTGTGTGATGCTACACCGAGGCTACCGTACGACCGCTTATTCCTACTCATGCGACGTAGTTCCGTTCGATGGCTCGCGTAATATCCAATTCGCATCCGCGTTATAAAAATAGTGTTCCCTAATACATTTATCGCGTTATATCTAATTTGCACTATTTAAACGAAGCAGTGTTATAGGAGAGCACACTTTAATTGCTAATGCGCTCCGATCATAATTCTCACGTAGCTACGAAGCGACGGTCTGCTTCAAGTTTCACGGTGGATCGAATTCCCTCGCATACTTCTGCGAGCTTCACGGTCATCCTGGTTGTCTCAAATTTAGTGTGACAAGAAGGAGGATCAAGACATCACCCCGCTCAAAGAGCCACTGACGCCGCAGCACCTCGCCAAATGCGTTCATGCCAACGACGCTGCGAGCCTGCCGGCTGCCTCCGCGCAGTCTCAAAGGGAAGGTGGAAGTGAGGCGAATGTGTGCACATGTAAAAAAACGCCGCCGTCACCTTCTGATCCGAGGCATCCTTGTAGGTGAGGGAAAAATAGTCCCTCTCCAGAAGGTTGAGATGCTCACACACCCTGTGGAATAGCTCGTGTCCTTTTGCATGTCTCTGCGAAGAGGGGAAATACAGCATGACATACGCGTACCATCAATCACCATGACATATGCGTACCAGCACTCACCAAGACATACGCATCACCATGTCATACACGTACCAGCAATCACCATGATATACGCGTACCAGCAATCACCAAGACATACGCATCACCATGTCATACGCGTACCAGCAATCACCATGACAAACATGTACCAACAATCACCAAGACATACATGTGTAGTGACATCGCGGGATATCACTGTGTAGTGCCGGCCCTAGAGAGGCATGGCATGCGGTGTATTGACATCGCAGATACCACTATGGTGTGGGTGTAGTATCAGCCCTAGAGGGGCTCGGTCAGCGCTGATTGATAGCGCTGGATGGCATCACGCTTGGCGTGCAGTGCCAGTCCTACAGGATAGGGTGTGGGAGTGCCGGCCATAGGAAAGGGGTTACTAAAGGCCATGGCACTCTGGTTGACCAGAGAGAACACATGACCAGTTAAGTCTACAAAGGGTCCCTGAGTGGGGGCTAGGGGTGGTCACATGGTTGGGGTCCAGATCCTGCTCGAGGATTCTGGAAGGTGGCATGGCCAAGGGCGGAGCCAGCCATGCCGCAGAGAATGTAAGCCGGGTCCCCCAGAGGGGCTGGCATTGTTGTTCATCCTGAAGAAACCTTCGTCTACGTTCTACGGTCTACCGAGTCTCCAACACTTGGACCTGGACCCGAGCTGTGGTCCGGTCCGTTGTAGCTAGTTTTGTTGTAATTAGCGTAGTTAGCCTGGTGGTCACCACCACAGGTTGTTATTCTGTTAAGGGGCAGTTACCCCGTGTGTTGGTGTTAAATAAATGTGTTGCCTCCAAGAGTACGTCTGCGACTCAGTTTAACTCACTACATGTGTACCAGCAATCACCATGACATACGCGTACCAGCAATCACCATCACGTTCATAAGCGTACCATCAATCACCATCACATACCATACCATCACGTACGTGTATCACCAATCACCATCACATACGCGTACCATCACCATGATATATCTGTACCATTAATCACCATCACCAGCACATACGCGTACCATCACATACACGTACCATCAATCCCCATCACAAACGTATACCATCAATCACCATCACATAAAGCGACCGGTTTATTAAAAATATTAACAGGTTATTTTTATTTGTACTGTCACTTAGAGGAAAGGAAGATTTATCAATTTACTGGACAGGTGGGTTGGGTTGGGTAGTGGGTGGCTTGTGGGGAGCGGTAGTGTAGTGGTTAGCGCTACGCTGTGCTATGAACCCGGTGACCCGAGTTCGATTCCCGCTCAAATGAGTACCTGGTGCGGTGTGTAAACATCACCACTGGGGAGACAAAGGCGGCTGGGTGTGGTGTTGGTACATTCACCCCCTTGTGTGCTGTGCCGTTCTTCATAGGTGCTACTCGCTAACAGAACTTGCCCCAACAGTCTGTTCAGGCTACACGGGGGATCTTTGTCTTTGTAGTTGGTGACTAAGAGCACTGTCTGAAGTGTCACGCAAAATAATCTACGAGCATCATTGTAAAAAATATAGTCACGAGTCAAGAATGTAAATGTATGTATATGTAGAGACGTAAATAGCGTCTCTAGGGCGTATAAGCCGACGACAACCACAACTGGTGAATGAGTGCGCACATACCTCTCGATGGGGCCGATGGAGACGTGATGGAGAAGCAGGCCCTACAGAGCAGGACCCCGTCGCAGAGAGAGAGAGAAGGGACGTGCCGACACGAAGTAGTGAAGGGGGCCCGGAAACGGGGGCCCGGAGGACATGTGACGCTGGCTCCGGTTCCATCATGAGAGACCGAGGAAGGGGCGTGGCCAGAGGTGGAGTAAGGCCACACTCGAGAGGATAAGAGGGATGGAGGCAGAGCGATCGTGGTTGTCTGACGGGAAGAGCTTACCGTGCGACGTTGCTTCGGGGGTCTTGGAGCGTCGGTCGTCGGGGGACCCTTTGGGGGTCTAGAATAACCCCGAGTATTGTTAACCCGAAGCCCTGTTAAGTTGTTAATAAATCGTGGTGCCTCCAGACTTCTGTGTGTGCCTCGTGAGACACACACTACATCTGATGCCAGAAGTAAAAATATTTTATAGCTAGGTGATAGCGTAGGCTTAAAATATACACGAGAAGAAGACAACCTACCAGGGATTCTTCAGAGGAAGAAGACGAAGAGGGGGTGATCCCCCAGACAGCCCCGGTAGAGGCGGCCCCGGAGATGGACCACGAGGAGTTTGGGCCTGCGGAGCAGCAGAAGGAACGTGACCTCGCCACGCCACCAGCAGCGGGGGAGAGACAAGTGGGCGCGTGGCCAGTGCTGGGCCAACCTACTGTCCACTTCGGCAGTACTCGTCGCGGAGATGGACCTGCACGAGCCGGCTGAACGAGTCGAAGGACCGGAGCCGCGAGGAGAAGACTTCGCCGCTGCTACGTCTCGCGCGCGGGAAACGCGGGAAGCGCAGCCTACACAAGAGGCCGCCATTTTGAGCAGTGCGCGGGACGTGGTTCCTGCCATCGCGAGTGTCCCGCCAAAAATGCAAACGGAGGGTCCTGCTCTGAAGAGGCGCCTTCCCTTTGTCGCGGCAGGCGGAGATTGGGTGGCCTTCAGCCGCCGCTTCACTGCTACATGCGCACTGGTGGGATAGACGGAGGGGAAAACGCTGCGTGCGCTCCCAACGGTGTTAGATGACGCTGCCTTGGGAGAATTCTACTCCATTCCAGCCGAGGATTGGGTGACGTTGGCGCAAGCTCTTCAACAGATGGCGGGTCGAAAATCCCCGCCATAAGTTTGCTGCACGGAGATGAGAAGAAGTCGAGATGCCTCTTGTCTTCTGCAGCGCGCTTATCTCGCTGGCCCAGGCGGCGTACCCAAAAATGGACAAGGACGGCCTTGACGCACTGGTCTTGGATCACATGCTGGGGCTGGCCCAGGAGCTTGATGTTGCGCTGCCTGCCTCCGACGACTTCACGTTGCTGAGAGTCACAAGGTGCCTCCAGGCCCACCTCAACATCAAGCGCCGCTTGAAGGTGGTAGCGTGCACGTGTCCTGCTGAAGATGCAGCAGCTTCTGATGAGGTCGAGTCCTCCCAGGCCTTCGCGTCGCTCAACATCAGCGGATGGAGGAAAGCCGAGATGGGGCAGAGGGACGACCGTGATCAACGGACGGAGGCCTCCTCCAGCCCCGGATCATCCCCCGTCGTGTGTTTTAAGTGTGGCCTTCTGGGCCACATCTCCAATGGTTCTCCCGACCGTGGGAGAACCTCCAGGACGTCGTCATCCTTCGGCCGACCCTCTCCCACTCCGCAGGGCCCCCAGGCGAGTCGTGCTGCACCACACACCCGGCCCTCGCACTCACCTCATTCATCCGGTTCATGCGTCTGCCTTGATTCGCGTGTGGGGCCGTGCGCTCGGGGTGCGGGGCGGGTATTTTGGAAATTGGCTGCCGATGGATGGCCAAGGCGACCTGGTCAGTGGTCAGCATTGGGCCAACGCATCGTGGCCACGGCATTCTCGGCTGTCATTGACACTGTGCAAGGGATAGAGGTGCGGATGCTATTTTACACGGGAACATCCGCTACCATCATATCTGAAATGATTTTTTACTGCTTACCTGCTAAATTAGCTACCCTCCATCCGGTTGATGTCCCGTGCTTTGCGGCAAATGGCGATTTATTTGGGAATTATGGGGCTACCATAGCCATTGGCGATATTTAAATAACCGGCCCGATTTTAGTTTCCAAATCGTTGGCCGTGCCTTGCCTGCTTGGAACGAATTTTCTAGGAAAAATGCCCCTCAAGATCCTCATTGACCAGGGGTGCCTGGAATTGCCGTCCGGCCATAGAATGGCCTTTTTGCCCTCCCCCACTCGACTGTGTCAAGTAAACGCCGTGATCCCAGCACTCGTATGGGAAACAGTTAAAATTCCCCCTGGAGCACAAATGCTGGTGCCTTTGCACCTCAGGAGGCAACTCAATGGGGATGCTACCAAGGGAGGTGTTCTTCTAACACCATCCAACATAGTGAGCCGTGGCCTTACGTTGGTCAGGGCCCAAACTATCATCAAAAATGACCAGCAGCCTTTCATTCAAATTTTAAACGCTGGTCTTGGACCCACTGTCAAACAGGCGGGCACGGTCCTAGCTCACGCATCGCCAGCAGATGGCAGGGTGGTAATGACGGACCCCGTCAAGATGGTCACTGCTGCGGAGCGGGGTGAGAGTTGCGACTATGCGTGGGTGGACGCACTCTGTGCCGAAAGCCCTGACTTGTCAGAGGTGCAGAGATCCGCATTGCGTGCGCTCATTAAGGAATTTTCGGACATCTTCAGCAAATCCAAATACGACATTGGCCGCACGTCGTTGGTACACCATCATATCAACACAGGCAATGCGGCCCCCTTTCGTCAGAACCCGTACAGGCTGAGCCCAACTGAGAAGAAGCATGTTCGCCATGCAGTTGGGGAGATCCTAGCCGCGGATATTATCGCCCCTTCCAACAGTCCGTGGGGGGCTCCAATTGTTCTTGTCAAAATGCAGGATGGCACCTTGAGGTTTTGTGCATTTACAAAAGTTAAATAAGGTATCTGTTGCCGATGCGTACCCACTTCCTCAGATGGATCATTCCCTGGATGCCCTGTCTGGGGCGCGGTTCTTTTCTACTCTTTCCGGCTTTTGGCAGTTGCCCTTAGATGAGAGTTCCAAACCTAAAACAGCATTTCGAACTCCCCAGGGCTTGTTTGTGTTTAATCGCCTTCCCATGGGACTCCATTCCAGCCCAGCCACATTCCAACGGCTTATGGAATTGGTTTTGGCAGGGCTCCAGTGGGATTCGTGCCTCATCTATCTTGATGACGTCATTGTCTTTGTATGTACATTCGAGGAGCACCTACTATGGTTGCAAGCCGTCTTTCTAAAAATGCAGGCAGCCAATTTTAAATTCAAGCCGCAAAAATGCCATTTTCTGCAGAGGTCG